TCCTGCTTAGATCTTGAGTAAACTACCAACTTAACCTTCGCAAGTGCAATTTACCAGTTAGATCCCCCTGGAGTTCAGAGGTTCTCACTCTTTGCTGTGCATGGGAATCACCTAGGGAGCTTTAGCACCTCTGACCCGTCACCGGAAGTTCTGCTGTAATGGGTCTGGAAAGTGGCCTGGGCATCAGGATTTGAAAAATCTCTCCAGGTCATTCGATTGGGCAGCCAAGGCTGATAAGCACTGCTCCAGCCTCATACCCCGCCTGTGCGGGAAGGAGAGTTCTAACCCGTAATGAAAACAGCTTCCTGTAACCTGCGTTCTATTTCTGACTTTCTTACAAATGATTGCAGTCTTTATTCCAAAGGGATGTTTTTTACTTATTCACAAAAGCATTTTTAACCGAAGTGGAACAATTTTAAACACATTTACATAACTGTAAAATGTTCGAAACAAAGAATAGATACTTCTAGAAAGCATAGAAATCCACGATATATACTTTGATTTTGAATAGGGTGCGTGCAAGGGTGATGGCAGTGGTTACTGCCATCATGCTGGCCGCCGCGGGGAAGCACAGCTGGGGCTGCGCCCTCCCTGGAGCCAGTGGGAGCCCTGCCCTTTCTGAGCTGGGACAGGAGTTCCCCATGCCGCTACAGCCACCCAAACCGCAGCCGCAGACCCAGGCCTCCTGCTCTAGGGAGCAGGAAGGAGCCCCACGCTGCTGGGTGAGGCTACAGCTGCCCAAACTGCGGCTGTGGATCTGAGACTCCCCGTGCTCCTGGGAGAACCGGGAACAGGCAGGATCTGCCTTCCCAGGTGCAGCTACAGCTGCCTCACTGCAGGAAGGGGAGCCGAGGACAAGTGGGAGCCCTGCCTCTTCCGAGTTGAGGGGGTGGGAGCTCCCGGCTGCAGCTGTGCTGCCCTCCCAAGCACAGGACCTGGGCATCTCTGCAGCCTACACCCTCGGGTCCCAGGAAGGACCCCTGTCCCTGCAGCCTCAGGGGTGTCTGCTCCCACTACTTGGCTTCTCTCTGCTCCCAGCACCCGCTTCAATCTCTCAGAGGGGTGGGGGCTGACAGAGTACTGGGTGGAAGGAAGTGGGTCCCCAGGAAGGCCCCACCCTCGGGCCACGGAGAGCCTGAAGAATAGGGGCTGGGCTGCCAGTCCCATGGACTGGAGTGGAAACTCATGTGCCTCTTCCAGGCCCACCCATGGCTGCTCATTGGCCAATTGGCATGCATTTCCTCCTTTCTGAGGTCCATAAAAGCCCTGGGCTCAGCCAGAGCAGGGCAGAGGACCTCCAGAGGACAAAGAGGGCAGGGAGATCATGGGACCAGAAGACCAGCTGCAGAGGAGTAGCCTCTCCGCTGAGAGCTGCGGAGACGACCTGCCAGCAGAGAGAAGCTACCTACGCCTCTGAGATGGTTCTAACACGAAACCATTAAACTCTTCTTCACCCTTCACTTGTGGACCTCATTATTCCTGGACGCAGGACAAGAATTCGGGCAAAGGTGCTGTAGCCACAGAGGTTTCTAGCCAGAAAAAAATCAACACTCCAGAGCTCCCCTAACAAGGGTAAGTTTTTCAGGAGGCTAAAAAGAGAGTTAAAGAACCATTGGGGGATATCACAAGATTAAAAAAAAATTGCGGGACTATTACCCGTTGAAAAACTATCTTACAAATAAAATAATTGAAATTCTACTGCCACATAATTAACTCATGCCAGGTCCGTGACTGATCTGGGTTTGCCAGTCTTCTCTGAGAAGGAACCAGATTAAAGCACTCACAGCTTCCAGCACATTAATAAGCAGTGGCTACTGGCCTCATGAGAACCTTTCAAGTGTTTGATGTTTAAAACACCCTTGCCGTTCGGCAGGTTTTAAGATACAGGAGAGCCTCAGCCACACTCTTCGTTTACCATGCAATTGCTTTTTAAACACCATTTGTTGATGGTGATAGAATTTAATATTTTTGAGAAAGAACTGACTCTACAAAGACTTTTCTTATTTTGAGGGTCCCATAAATAAATGCTGTGCCTGTACCGGTCAGCTATTGCTACATTAGTCTCTGGCATGCAGCAAAGAGCATTTATTTCTCACTCACAGTTTGTGAGTCACGAAGGCAGGTCAGCTGGGGTGAATCGTTTTTCTCCTGGGACAGTGAGCAGCCCAGGTTTATTTCTTCTAACAAAACCCATTAGGCAAAGAAAGCCACATGGCCATTCTCACATTCAAGGGTGGGGGAAATACATTGCATCTTTAGTGGGAAGGACTGCCAAAGGAGAGATGAAGGATTGGGGCCAATAATTCCCCTTACCTCCGTCCCTAAAGTAAAAGTCTGTCGAAGATTACATCTCAGTAGTGTATTTACAAGTAGAACGTCTTGCTCTAGAATGATGTCACTGACAAGTTCTAGAACCCTGTAGGTAAGATGACTTTTTGTGTCCAGACAGACAGCAATACTCATCCATAGGCTGCCCCAGGGCAAGGTGGGTGATGCTGGCTTTTCTTGCCTGCCCTACCCCCAGAATACCAAAATGATCTCCAAAGAAGTAATCAGGGTTTGAGGAGAGAATTGAACAGGTGGTGCATGGAGAATTTTTTGGGCAGTGAAACTATCCTGTGTGATACTGTAATGGTGGATACATGGCACTATGCTTTTGTCATAACCCATAGAACTTTATAGCACAAAGAGTGAACCTCAATGTGCGTGAATTTTTAAAAAATCATTTGGGAGATCAGGGATCCCATTTGGGACTCCCAAGGTGTAGAGATAGGCCAAAAACTTAAGATGCATGCACAGACATGTCTGCAGTAGCTAAAAACTTAAGTCTTACACAAAACTTTGCTACCAAAATTTGAGTAAGACAAATCGCATAAAAACAAAGTTCATGGGTGATACACAACTTGAATCAATAGAATTGTATTGATTGTTGTGAAATAAAGTTACGTAGACTACAAGAGTCTACGCTGTCAGAAATACAATGGCACTCACACCATGATCCGAGTCTTGCCTCCTTGATCTCTTTCTGCATGACTTTTCTCTGTCCCCGGCCAACTTACTATGTATGTGACAACCACTCCACCTTCTTCCAGTTCCTAGAACACCAAAATTGTTCCTGTCTTAGGGCCCTTGCCTTGTTCTCTAAGCCTGGAAAAGTCTTGCCTCATCACTCCATGTGGCTGGTTCCTTCTCCTCTTGAAGTTTCAGCTCAAGCAGGAGCCTCTTGGTAGCTCCATTACTGTCTTTCACTAGTGCATTATCCCCAACCCCTAAAGCCCTGCCTGGCACATAGTAGGTGCTCAATAAATATTTGTGGACCAAAGGGGCTACTCATGTATTAGTATTTGGCTCAGGGCCCTGCTTTGGAATGAATGCTGTGCAGACAGTCAGGAAGTCCCACACTGCACACAGTAAACTAAGAGAGAGTCCATGTAAAGCTCCTGCATGGCCACTGCGATAGTTCCAAGCACTCTAAGAAAGGCATAAAGCAGCTTGATGCTCAAGTATTGGCCCAGATCTGCAAAGGACATTGGGGTGGGGAGATGCTCAACTGATTAAGTCGAAAACTACCCCTGTCTAAAGCAGGGATGGTTGGGATATGATTGCCTTGGTATAAAATGGAAGCAGGATATAGGATAGGTCCAAACCAGGGCTCAAAAAAGGAAAAAACAAATCCGAGTAAGAACAGCAACAAAATCTTGCTGCTGTGGGAAACCTAGAGGGTGAGCTCCTTCTCCACATGAGCCCTGCTGGTGGCTCTGTGTGTGTGTGTGTGTGTGTGTGTGTGTGTGTGTGTGTGTATGCACACACATGCATGCACAAGAGCACGAGCAAAGGATGTAGTGAAAAGTACAATGTGGAATGAGGAAATAAAGGGTACTTCGCAGTCAGCAGCCGTGGGAGGAGCGGGGAAGTAAAAGGTCCTGGGAGCATAGAGATTATATTTTATATACCGAGGGAGAAACCCCAATGTTGTAATGACCATGTGTGATAAAAACTGCTAGTATCATGAAAAACAGTATATTTCCAAAACCAAACTTAGAGGGGAAAATGAAGAAAATTAGGAAAAGTAAAACTAGAAAGAAAGAACAGCAAATAGCAAGCAAAAATGATACAGAAAACAAGACCCAGTATGTGAAGCATCACAGTTGCTCTGTACTGGTTAAGTTCTCTGAAGACAAGCAGTGTCATGTTAGTCATGAAATAAAAGCCAGGCATAATTTATTTCTAGAAACATACTGAAACAAAGTTACAAAGACAGATTGGAAATGAAGACAAGGACACACTGAGCAAATGCAAAGGTAAAACCAAAACCAAATCAGCACCAATAGCAACATTAATATCAATTAAAATGCAATTTAAAGCCAAAAAGCATTAACTGCTGAAGATGAATGATATATAACGGACAATGTTAATCGATGAAGAAGCTCTGTATAAGTGATAAACCCTAATAGAATACAAAATATAGCAACCATATGTATAAAGCAAAATGCCCCAGAAATACAAGGGAAATTGATAGAAATATATTTATTGTGGGAGGTTGCAATATTCTTTCGGAATTGAACAGTCCAAGTATACAGTTAAAGATATAAGGGATTTCAAAAATGCAATAAACTGTAATTTTCTCTTATATTCATGTAACACACAAATTATTCATATACTTGATTAATGGCATTAAATAAAACTTCAATTTCCCGAAAGCAGATTTTTAAACTTTCCTTCGTTCAAAGAAGAGATATGCAATAAAATGATTTTTTACGTCTCTAATTATTGGGAAATTTAAAATTCTTTTCCACATAATTGCCAGTTCACAGGAGAAATCAAAATTGAAACCACAAATTAAGTATCCAAAAGGGAAAAGAAAAAAAACATTATATCAAAACCTATTGGATACAGCTAAAGCTATGTTTGGGGGAAAATTTGTAGCCTTAAATAATTTTATTATTTAAAAATAAAGCAAAGCAAAATACACAGACTCATGACTGTCACATCATATTTGGAGCTATTTGCATCTGATTTTTTGTTGATAATTGAGAAAATGACTAGGAAGGTTCTCGTGCTTCCGTTGATTTTCAGATTTTCTTCATTTGAACTATTTTCCCTTTTCATTTCTCCTTTTTGTTAGTGTCACAGTGAGTACAAATAAAGCGATCAAGAATTTGTCTATCTGAAAAGGATGAAGAGAAACAGGATGAAAATTTCCGTGTAAGTATTTAAATGCTAAATTGAGAAACTCTAGGAAGAAAATATTTGACAGTATTACTAAATACACAAATTTGATAAGAGACCAAAATAATCACAGGCTAGTATATTTAATACCTAAACAGGCACAGTTGTATAATTATTGATTAAGAAGAGTAAACTTAATATTCAAGGGATTAGCAAACTTACTGGAAGACACAGATTTTAGAATGAAAGAGGCTTAAGTTTCAGTTGTGTATTGGCAAGTGTTAGCAAATGATTTAGCCTCAGTTCCTCATCTTTGAATACAGGCAGCAGTACTTACTTGGCACAGACGATGGAATAGATTAGGGACACTGTGTGTGAAGCACCCAGACAGCGCCCGGCCCATCAAAAACAATAAATGGTCATCTTAGCCTTCTATTCCGGGGTCCATAGTAATAAACAGTGATGATAAACAATAGAGATTATTGTTCCAAATTTCATAGAAACCAGGACTGTTTTTGTACCCACTGACATTGGTAAGCTTTGCTGTCCTTGAATGGTAAATGTTGACCCTGAGAAGGTCAAGACCTTGGGAAAGCCCTTCAACTCCCCTCCCTGGCCTCCATTTCCTGATCTGTAACATAAAGGAGTCTTGTCTGGTTCTGAACATCTGTGATTCCCTATTCGTTGTCATATATGTACATACATATATACATACATACATACATATATATGTACACACACATATAATATATATACGCATAATATATATACATAATACACACACACACACACACACACACACACACACACACATATATATATATATTTTAGATGGATTCTCACTCTGTTGCCCAGGCTGGAGTGCAGTGGTGCGTTCTCGGCTCACTGCAACCTCTGCTTCCCAGATTCAAACTATTCTGCCTCAGCCTCTTGAGTAGCTGGGATTATAGGCATGCACCACCATGCCCAACTAATTTTTGTATTTTTAGTATAATCCCAGACTCCTGACCTTAAGTGATCTGCTTGCTTAGGCCTCCCAAAGTGCTGGGATTACAGGCAGGAGCCACCGTGCCCAGCCCCTAATCATACATATTTTTAATCGTACAGAGTGAAGCTGTAAAACTTGTTCACTCCCAGCAGGTATCACCTGTGCATCCAAATCCAAAAGGGAGTGAACATACAAGTGATGCTATGTTCATATTCAATGTTCATGTTATCCCGCTCAATGTCCCAAATGCCAGTGGAGGTCCATAGATCAGAGATGTCTGCATGTGCAGACATGTGTGTGTCGCTGCACATGTGTGTGTGAATGTGTGTATGTGCATGTGTGAGTGTGTTTGTTCCTGTTTTCTCTTCGATTATGTCTTCATTTATTTGTTTTTGTGATTTCATGTTTAATTCTGAAGCATCCCTACCCTGTTCCATACCTTGTCTCCAGTATTTTTTTAGTTGGTTACACTTTTCATAAAGTGAAATTCACTAATCTTTTGTGTACAGTTTGATGAAGAGACATATGCATTACTGTAACCTATGATCACAGGATGATAGAGATCATTTCTCCCATCCCAGAAGACCCTTCATGCTCCTTCCCAATCAACACTCCCTACTCCAAGACAGCCACTGTTCTGGTTTCTTTCATCACAGATGAGTTTTCCCTGTTGTAGATCTTCAAATAAATGAAATCATACAGAAGGTATTCTTTTGTGTCTGGCTTCTTTCATTCAGCAGGTTTTTGGGGTTCATACATTTTGTTGTATATATCAATAACTCATTTCTTTTTATTGTTGAGTGGTATTTCATTATGTGAATATATCACAGTTTGTTTATCCATTTTCCTACTGATAGAGATTTGGGTTGCATCCAGTTTGAGGCTATTAAGAATAAAGTGATTATAAACATTCTTGTACATGTCCTTTTGTGGACATATGGTTTCCATTCTCTTGGGCAAATATCCAGAAGTGGAATTTCTGGGTCATGGAGTAGGTATATGTTTAACTTTAGGAGAAGCTGCCAGACCTGTTTCCAAAGCGATTGTATTCTTTGATAGCCAGGCACAGTGGAGCATGCCTGTAATCCCAGCACTCTGGATGGCCAAAGCAGGTAGATCACTTGAGGCCAGGTGTTCAAGACCAGCCTGACCAACATGGAAAAACCTTATGTCTACTAAAAAATAAAATAAAATAAAATTAGCTGGACGTGGTGGTGCACACCTGTAATCCCAGCTGCTTGGGAAGCTGAGGCATGAGAATTTCTTGAACCCTCAAGGCAGAGGTCGCAGTGAGCTGAGATCATGCCACTGAACTCCAGCCTGGGCTACAGAGGGAGATTCTGTCAAAACACACACACACACACACACACACACACACACACACACACAACAAAATAATTTTACTCTTCATTCTTTAATATTCCCACCAGTGCTGTGTGGGGTTCTGACTGCTTCCTCTCATTGATATTTGCGATCGTCAATCTTTCTTATTTGAAGCATTGTTTCTATTACCAATTTTACCAATATTATTTTTTCTTATTAAAATAAGAAAAAAAATCCTTTCTTCTTATACCAGAGATATACATACACTGTTAATCAAGGTTTGCATGAATTCGTACAAAAGGATGAGAGTCTGTAAAATTTAATGTCAACTTAGCTGTTCAGAAAGGCTACCAATTGTAAGTCAAATGCTGCCCATCTTTATTACGTATAAATGCAAATTCATTTCCTTGTGATTTTGTATATGCTGTTGCTTCTGCCAGGAATGCTCCTGCTTCTCTTTGTCATGCAGATCCATCTTTAAGACTTAAAGGACCCCTCCTCCAGGCACCCTTTCCTCATCTCCTGTCCACCCACAGGGTTGGGAGTTCCCCTCACAGGCTTCCACGTACTCAAAGATTACTCTGATTACAGAATTGGTGATATTTTACCTATGTGTCTATCTTCTATACCGATAATGAGTTCCCTGGGAAGAAGGATTCCTTATTTATCTTTGTATCAACTGAGCATTTATTGAGTAAATAAATTGATTCTTAGTATTGAAACACAGGCTATGAAGAAATACCTTTTACATGGCCATTTGTGGGAGGTTCAGTTGGAGGAAGAGACAGGGCGGGAGCCATAACTGAATAAATTCACAGAAAACTGGGTTTCAGATCATTTTACCTTTCAACTGGGGAAAAGTGTACTGACGACACAGTCTTTACAAATAGGAAACAGTTGCCCAATGAGTAAGCTTTTGCGTGGTCTGAGGCAGACTCAGAGATTTAAAAAATTCTGAAAGTAGAATAGCCACTAAAGATAACTAGTTCAACCTCCTCAAGTTATAAATAAACTGAATACCAAATCGTGGTGACACACAGAGTTAGTGAAAACAAAACGTTTGTCTTCAGCTCTCTCTCCTTTATGCCTTCACAGCTTTATTTTTTGTTATATTGGAGTTTTCTCTTTACTGTGTTTCACCCCCCACCACACACACCAGCTCTCTCCCGCACCCCCGCCTCCCACCCAACTTGGTCCATAAGAACAAGCCTGGTCCCTTCTCTCTCTCTCTCTCTCTCCCTCTCTCCGTCTCTCCTTCTCTTCCTCTCTCCCTCTCTAAAATGTACCTGTTCTAGGCTCCTATTCCAACAGGTCCTACAACCTATGAAAGATAATCCAGTAAAATAATTTAAGCCAAGTTGATAATAATTCTGCCTAACACATCGACATATGTGCTCAGCCACAAAAGCTCTGCTGCGATGTTCACCCGCTGAAAAGCATTAGTGCCATCTCTGACACTAGAAAATGACAAGAGGTTTTGGGCACAAGAATTCAAGGGGAGCCTTCCATTTGTTTGTCAGCTTCTAACAGGGTTGGCAGTGATGCGTGGGCCATTCTACAGCAGAGCTTGGAAAGAGAAGTGAAAACCCACGGGAAGCGGATCCCACATCAGCCCAAGGCAGCACCAAAGAGCAAAGGTCTGGGTCATGAGCCTTCAGGCACTGGCCCCTGGTGCTGCCCTGAGGCAACCGGGAAAGCAGAAGAGCTAAGAAGAAACAAAACCCTAGCTTATTCTAAGTTACCTTGTGAGCTAACAAGTCATGCCTCACCTGTCTAGGGAAGAAAGTCCTGTCAGGTGGACAGAGTGTTTTACCTGAAAGATCAGCTCACCTCAGTATCTTGGAGAACCTAGATCCAAGGCTGCCAGAGCACTTCTAGGAGTTCCTAGTTCACCTTAGGGGGCGCCACTAAGGCTTGGATTGCGCCTGACACACAGTAAGAGACAGAGCTGCCTGCAGCCACCGTGGTTTCTGTGGGGGCAGAGAAGTGACAGCTGCATCTGCAGTGCAAGTCCCTGGGCAGATGGGAGCATCTGCTTAGGAAAGACAAAAATCCTCTTTCTACAGGGTCCGACAAATGTGGATCCTAAAGGTAAAAAGAGCTCCTTGTAAAATGCAGAGGATGCTTTTATATGCAAAATTGAGAATGAGAACAGGCAGGCAGGCTTGAGCTTGCTGCGGAGCTCTGGTTGGGTGCTCTGGGGAGTCTGAGCCAGTGGACCCCCAGGAGCCTCTTGGCTTCCTTCTGAAGTGTCAGACTGGCCCAGAGCCATCTGTGGAGAGCAGGGAGGCATCATACTCCCTCCCTGTTCCTTTCTCTCAACAGAAAATGCACACTCCTGCCTCAATAGAAGGCAAACACCTGCTTCTTGTACCTCCCTGAAACCCAGCATTCAAGATCTTAGAAGGGTCTTTAGGTTCTCAGCCCTCAATGTGTAAGGGTGGCAAATACTTTGTTTCTACACACACACACACACACACACACACCCCCCACTCCCTGTCAGCCTTGCCAACAGCAGGGTTTTAGTTTTTCTTGGGGCAGGAGATCCCCAAAAAAAGAGGGTTTCAGCGAGGATTTCAGAGGTGCAAGCTCTTCTGATTGTGGCTGGGGACAGCACCTGGGGACCCAGGAGAGTCAGACAAGAGACAGAGAGCCCTCGGAGGGATCCCACAGGGCCGGTGGAAGTCCCAAGCTCATTATAGGGCACATAGTAAGTTAGCAGCCCCCGAATAGCCTAGAGCACAATATGGGGTACAGAAAACGATCACTTGGGTACAGAAATAGGCAGTAGACTCCTATTGCTATTTGATTTTTACTTCCTTCTATAACAGTTTGTATGCTCTATAATGTATGTGATACATTAGTTTAGTTGGCATATGAATATATTTTATATAAAGTTTGATATCTGCATTAGGTGATGTGCTCACAAATTAGGAGGAATTGGTGGCGGTGGTTGGGGGGTGATCCCTCACGTAGAATGCTGAAAGACAGCTGCAAGAAGAGCTCTGTTTCCTTTCCTCAAGCTCTCTTAGTCTCTGAGTTGACATTTTACACACTCTCAGTTAAACTGACCAGTTGCCCCTAAGATGCTCCCAAATCAATTCCAGTCACTTGGCGACAAACTAGGATAAGTCTTTGTCACGTGGAGTGAAGCCACATCAGTGGCATTTGCTCTCTTTCAGAGAGTGATATAGAGATTCTCTTGTACCTTAAAAAGCCTGTCACAAAAATGTACCAGCAAACAGAAAATAAAGATTAGACAAAACACAGCAAAATAGTGTGATTATACAAACACCCAGAGGAGAAATCAATTAGCTCTAAGAAAAAGAAGTGTCATCCTGGAGCAATTCAACCACAGGCAAAATGAGATCAGAAATGAGTGAAAAGCTGTAGGTCTCTCTTTTAATAAGTGGGGATATAGTCACTGGGGTCTCCTTAAAGGAAAATATCTTTTCAGTGGATTGAGGTTTGCACAACACTGAGACGTTTTATTTTTGAGGCGATGCTTTCCCTTTTCGTGGGCATTCAACTCCAGTGGCTACAAGTTGGAACAGTTTCTATTTGGCAAAAGCAATGTATTTTGATTTGTAAGTGCGTGGAATAAGACCTCATCTTACCTTTGTAGGAAACACTCTGAAGGTACTTTTTGACTTGAGAGGAAGTAAATGAGTTTAAAAGCATTAAGAAATCCAGGTAGGTTCCATCGTAGTCGCGTTGGTATGTGGTCTGCTTCTTCATAAGCTCTTGGTTCCTCAGGTAGCTGTGCAGCACAGAGGGCACTGTGGAAATACACAGGAGAGGAGAGGCTCAGGGGCTGGTACCCAAGCACAGCAGTCTTGCCCTTATTGTTTAAAAATAACCCTGAGGCCGGGCGCAGTGGCTCATGTCTATAATCCCAACACTTTGGGAGGCCGAGGCAGGCAATTCACAAGGTCAGGAGTTTGAGATCAGCCTGGCCAATATGGTGAAACCCCATCTCTACAAAAATAAAAAAAATTTAAAAAAATAGCCAGGTGTAGTGGTACGCGCCTTTAGTCCCAGCTACTCGGGAGGTTGATGCAGAAGAATCACTTGAACCCGGGAGGCAGAGGTTGCAGTGAGCTAAGATCATGCCACTGCACTCCAGCCTGGGTGACAGAGTAAGACTGTCTTAAAAAAAAAAAAAAAAAAAAAAAAAAAAAAAGCAAAGAAAGAAAATGACCCCGACGGCCCTGATCCCAGCTTTGAGCTCAGGCAGCGTCCTTCATGGTGCTAGACACTAAGGCTCTGTATTTAATCAATTCTTCCAGTGCTAGAGCTACACAGAGCTGCGGGGACTTCCGGCCTGTTGCTGCTGAAAGTGGCAGTGATGGGAGACAATGACCAGAAGGGTGATTTTGACCATCACTTTCAGAAGAGACCTTTTCCCTGAACTTGACTCTTACGCAGGTCAGTGTGTTATGATGGTGAAGGAAACTGAAATATTTCACCCCAAAATATACTTCTATGGTATACTTTGAGATGTCTGTTGAAAAGTCCTGCCAACTGCATTAGCCCTGCAAAGTTGTCTTTGAGAGTGGGGTGACCTGCATCCACAGGGAATCTGCATTGATGCAGCCCAGCTTTCTAAGGTCTTTCCTTGTCTGGATCTAAGAAACATTAACTAAGATCGGACTTTATTGGTCTAAAACCTTTACCATCATTCTCTCTGGCGGCTGCTACCACGGAACAAGACCACCTTTGCTAGCCAGGCCTCCTCTTCTCCCCTCCACCCCATAACCTGTTTAGCCAGCTCTTTCTGTAACCTCAAGATGGTATAAAAGCATCAACCCTCCCGTCATTTCTGTGAGTTCTTATATTTTGCTTGACTTCCACGCGTGTTAATTTGTATGCCTTTTCTCCTCTTAATCTGCCTTTTTTCAGTTGACTTTTCAGCAAACCTTCAGAGGGTAAAGAGGAAGTTTGCCATTGGTGTCTACGATGGTGATGTTCACTGTCTGCTTAATAACCAAAGGTCCTCATAGAAGTTTCTTTTTCTTTCAGAACATCTCCTGTGCACATTTCGAATGGCACAGTAAGGGACCTCCTTCCAGGGACCCAGGCATCTTCAGTTGAGCATTTTGGAATAATGATGGTGTTTATAGTCATCACTCATTGTCCATTTGGACTAATGGGGGTATGAGGTGCAGGCAATACCCAAATCACTTACATTTGATTATGAATACTGCTCATTTAATGTGAGTTCTGATATTCAAGAAATGATCATGAAAAAGCTAATAAAATCATGATGCAAAAACCAAATTTTCACAACTTACTCAATCTTTTTTTCTTTTTCCTTTTTTTGGGACAGTCTCTCTCTGTCACCCAGGCTGGAGTGCAGTGGTGTAATTTCAGCTTATTGCAACCTCCGCCTCCCAGATTCAAGCAATTCTCCTGCCTCAGTCTCCCGAGTAGCTGGGACTACATGCGTGTGCCACCATGCCCAGCTAATTTTTTGTATTTTTAGTAGAGATGGGGTTTCACCATGTTAGCCAGGATAGTCTCGATCTCTTTGACCTCTTAATCTGCCTGTTTCTGACTTCCACAGTGCTGGGATTACAGATGTGAGCCACTGCACCCAGCCCCAATTTTTAAACCTTAAGAATACCTTCCAGCTCCAGGTGTCCCCTTTAAAGCATTATTGGCCAAATAGAGGGACCCGACTTGGTGAGAGGATTTGATATTATACCGTGAGAAGAGTGTTTGTAGGGCCTGGAAATACTTTAACTGGAAAAGACTTAGATGGCATATGACAAGGTTTTCATCGAATAACAGATTTATAATAAGGAACATCCATGGGAAGAAGCAGAACCAGTGGCTAGAAGTTCAGCAGGAATATTAAAGCTGCTCCAGCTTCTAAACAGACTGCGAAGGGGATGGGGCTACCCTGAAGTGGATATGCAGGGGCAGTGTCGCCCCTTGGCAAGGATGGAGTCAGGAAGATTCGCATACAACATGAGGCTCTGGACGAGTTCATTTCTAGGCTACCTTCTAACCCAAGGTGCTAAGCGTCAATTCTTTGATTATTGTCTCAAGTACCGCTTGTTCTCAACTCCATGCCAGGAATGAATCACGTTTCAGACTGACACCAAGTTTTCTGCTTAATTAGTAGCCTGGAGGTGGCTTAGGTCATGGAATTTTAAGAAACTCGAGGGATGCACGTGTGGATACACTTCAGTAGGAGACTGAGACTAAACTGGTTTCCTGCCTCACCTCTTTCTGTCACTTTACAGCAACTGCGTCCTTCCTCTCCTTCTATAAGGAGGAAGTATCCCCTAATCCTCACCACTGCCCCTTCCCAGCAGGGGTCACACTCATTTCATGGCCTAAGCAGTCAGTTGTCTTCTGAAATCTGCTGGCTCCCTGGGTTCCAGGTTGGGAGCAGCAGCACCCAGGTTCTGATGTTATGCGAGGATCCCTGGCTTTCTCCATGACTATTACCAAATGGGCTATCAGTGCCCTCTGCATTGAGAAGTCCTGGAGCCAGGGTTTGGGATCTATGAGGGTGTTCTAGAAGCTGCAGCTGTACTCACCTACACCCCGAGAAGCAACGGGCAAGCTTGCATAGCATCCGTATTTGAAACTGAAATCCTGAAGCTCGGGAATTTTAGCTGGAATTTGGTAATTCCTTCGGAATTCAGTGTCTGGAGGTTGGGGAAGGAACTTTTTCCATTCCAGAGACAGGCGAGAACTTTTCTTAATCTTCTGAGCTGGGGTGAGGTGGAAATAGAAGGCAATACTTACTCCTTGTGAGTGATTTCTAAGTAGCTCCACATCCCACCTTGCCTCTGGCAGGAGCTTCCAATTTATCACACGAAAAACACACTCTTGTTGTATTTAGAGGTCCGGTCAATGTGCTCTATATGAACACCTCAATGAAGAAATAATTTTATCAGTCACAGGAGGTATGTGCTCAAATGAATGAACACTTCGATGAAGAAATAATTTTCTTTCTCAGTCACAGGACGTATATGCTCAAATGATCAGAAGTAGTTTCTAGTGAATATATTTTTAAGTCACAAGTCTGCCCAGTGGGCACAGAAGGCACTGATCACTCCACTGGGTCTGTCTAGTTCCCGGGGCAGAGAGGGGTATCAAAGAGATTTTGGATAGGGCCAAGGTTGCCTTTTATGAGATGCCCAGTGAAATTTGAATTTCAGATAAATAATGATTTTTTTTAGAGTAAATACTTTCTATCTACTTCATATCATTATTCAAATTTAACTGGGTGTCCCATAGTTTTATTTACTTAACCTCGCAGCCCTAGATGGGGTGGTGTATATCATCCCTATTACCTGGGAAAACATTTTAGAAAACAAAAAAAATAAAAAAGCTGGCAACTTATCCCTTACTGATGGAGGGTTAGGTAACATTGCTGGCATTAGTGGATAGCACCACTATTATTTCTTTGAAATAGCTCTGCTAAAACATATTTATTAAATATCTATGAAGCACTGAAGCCAGTGTTACAAACATTATCAGATTTACAGAGGCAAGAATCACAATCCATCTCACTTAGAATGAGTTTATTCCTGATTCTTGCTACAAAACCTTCGTTCAGAGGCATATCATATAACACCATCTTTATTCAGAAGGACAAAGATGTCAAAAACATGGGTTTTATGAGCAATGATCAAACAGTGCAAATTACAATCGACACTGAACTCAATTCTCTTCCAGATTAGTTTTCCAACAGATCTTTTCAAAATAAATCCTAATACACATTGTATACCAAACCATTTATAGTGGTACCTACTGGTATATATTTTATATCAAAGGATATATAATTGCATCTACTGGCATCTGAGAGCATTTTTATATCAATTTTTAAAAAATGATTTCTGTCTACACCATTAGAGGAGGAGAAGGCTCCAGCACAGGTTGCCTCTTACTTTAGAAAACTCAGGAAGAAAGGACATGGGTATTCAGTAGTCCTCGTAATGACCTCATAAACGGCAGACACAGAAGGCAGATTATAGAGAGGAGGAGTTTGTGGGGCTCAAAATCAGGGCACCCCTTAAGATATTTTGGAAAACCATCTGGCACTGTTCCTGTAACTTCCATCTATAACTTAGTGCTATGATTCGAACGTGTCCCCGCAAAAGCAAACTTAATCCCTATTGAAACAATGTTGGGAGGTGGGGCTACGGGGAGGTGTTTGGGTCATGGGCACTCTGCCCTTATGAGTGGATTAATGCTGTTATTGTGGGAGTGGGCTAGTCATTTCAAGAGCGGGCTCCTGATAAAAGGGTGAGTTTGGCTTCCTTTCTCTCACTTTCACGCTCTTGTCCTTCCATTTTCCACCAGTGGGAAGATGGTGCAAGAAGGCTCTTGCAAGGTGCCAGCACTATGCGCCTGGCTTCCCAGCCTCCAGAACCATGAATCGAATAAACGTATTTCATCATAGATGACCCAGTCTCACACATTCTGTCAAAGCTGCACAAAACAGACTAAGACGCTTGGCTTTTATTATTTACCGAGAGCTTTATAAACAAAAACAAATTTCCATGGAAATACTTGCTTCCCTAGAGCTACCATTCAATAGTAAATGCTTTCAGTTCCTATGTCAGTTCTGTGCGATATGACAAGGTTTTACATAATTAAGTCACTGTTCTCCCTTAAGACAATTAGTGTGATTCTAAAGATATCTACAGAACAAACAGGTAGGGTGTGTGGTAAGTCTTGCAACCATAACATTTGGAACTATGGATCTCACATGGAAATATGACATCAGAATCACCTGGGAAGCGTCTCTCAGAATACATCTGCTTACCCTCGTCCCAGACACTGAGAACCTCTAGAAATGAGGCCCCAGGCCTTTATGCTGTGAAAACAAACCACCCATGTGCTTAAGAATTACTGACTCAAAGTTTTGAATAAGGTGTTCCAGGAGCCCAGAGAGAGAATGAGGGGCTGTGATGGAGGAAGAGGAGGAAGACAAGGACTAAAAGGCAGTCAGAGTTAAGAGCTTTGACAACGGGTCAACAAGGAAACAGAAAGCGTGTAGTGTGTTTGTGAAGCATGGTCTGACTTGCAGAAGGCTGGGGCATGCAGGGCAAGGGGGCGGAGCTGAGGGTGCAAAGGAGTGGCAAGCTGGAGCCAGGCTGTGAAGGGTCCGGGACATCCGTTCCCCATGAACAGCGATGCACAGCAATCACTGGAGATGAAGACCCAGAAAAGACAAAAACAAGGACCTAGACTTAGATATCTACAGGACGAACAGGGAATATGGTGAGTCCCACAACTATATCACCTGGAACTGTAGATCTCACATGGAGATAAGCCATCAGGATCACCTGGGAAGAGGTACTCAGAATACAAAGATTCTCACTCGTCATTGACCCTCAGCACTTTTCACAGCGCTGGAACTCATTAAATATTTACTAAATTAATGAGTGAATGTAGACACCAAAAAACCTGGAAGCATAATTGCTATGGATTAGCAATTAATATCTGAACTACACTCTAGTGACTGCCTGTGTGATCAATCCATGCTTAAGGTAACTCCTAATAAATTACGTATTGTTCATTCCGTAGATGGGCTTAGTTCTTTTAAACTGACGCTTTTGTTGTCTTTATAAAATGTGTTAATGAGCTTCACGCATTATTTGGAAGAGAGGTTCCTCATAAAAAGGGACCTAAGCAACGCTTAAAACCCCCATAGTTGTGCTGAAGCATAGAGAGGAATGATAATCATGAGTTAGAACCAACCTCACCCAGTGACACCTGCCCAGGGTCCTAGTCCTTAGGAGCTCAGCTCCCTGGGTTTCTTTTCCACTGGAGTAAAACTGGAGTGGTTTAGCCCAAAGAAAAAAACTGGCCCATTTATAAGACCTGCAGAAAGGTCCAAACCAAAAGTAAATCTGCGGCAAGGACCATTCAAAACCATGAGGGCCATTGACACATGACCTGTAGCCAAGTGGGAACTAGAGCTGCTGTCTTTTTCAGCTGTTCCGATGCATCAGAGCCACCTTCTCCAAGCCTGAATGTGAAAAGAAGCACCTTTCAGTGCTTCTCAGTTGTTTACCTTAATTCCATAATGAGGATAAAAAGCTAAGGCACGGCCCTTGTGCTTCGGAAGCTTAGATTATTGCAATATCATTAGTCTTACAAAGGAAGTAAGAACCAAGGCTATTAAAACACATGGGAAGGCCAGCAACCCAAAGGTGGGGGATCAGGGAAGGCTTCCAGGAGAGAGGGGAGGCCTACACCTGGACTTAAATTCTGGGTAGACATACGCAAGAGAAGAAAGGGACACGTGCTCCACAGGGAGGAAGCAATGTGTGCAGCCAGCACGAGGCCATGAGGGTGGAGGTATGTGGAGGGTGTGAGTCGGGATGGCTGGCAAGGCCATGAGGGTGGGGCTGACAAGGGAGGAGGAGGCGTGGCAACCAGGACCAGATGGTACGAGACGTGTGTAAGGCATTTAGCTTTTATCCTGAGGACAACGAAAATTCACTGAAGGGGTTGAAGCCATAAAGTGACATCAGTTTGCACATCTGGAGACTCGCTATGGCTTGCCTCATGGACAGTGGGTTAGAGGGAACAAAACTGGAAAAGCTCACTGTGAAAGCTCCTCTAGCTGCCAGGAGTGACAGAGTTGGAGGGAACCTATGGATTATGCAGGTAGATCGGCTGCGGGGGAAGGAGATGAGTTGGAATGCTCACGAGGCTTTTACTTAGCACCTAATACAGGAAACTGAGGATCTGAACAGAGGTTTGAGGAGAGATGCAAATGTGGAGGTCCTCGGGATAGTTGCTCTACAGAGGAATCAGAAACTCTAATAGTTAGAGCCAAACAGAAAAACGACCAAAGAGAAGGATCAAAGAAATAGGGGGAAAAGAGGAGCGTGTGACAACACAGAAGTACAAGGAGAACAGTGGTCCGAAAGAGAGCAGAAACCACAGTTAATGACGCTCAAAGGCTGGGTAAGACGCAAATGGGAAAATCTCCATTGAAGGTCATTGCAGACCTTGAAAGGAGCAGTTCAGCGAATGGTGGGGGCAGACACAAGGTTGGAAGGGGTTGAAAAGTCAGAGGGTTAGCAATGCTTCCCACTAAACTCAGTGGATTGTATCCATGCGTTTAGGATCCTCCATCCCCAAACACCATCAGAATGATCACATATTTGAAATATTAACAGATTTTTAGAAAATGGGAAGCAAATGTAGATGTGGCAACTGAATGAGCAAAGTAGAGGCAGCTGAAGCCTAGATGATGTGAGAGGGGAACGGCGAAGAAGTGAGCGATGTAACCCACAGTACAGAACACCTGCAGGCTCCAGCGTAACAGGTACAGTGGGAGACAGGGAGAGAGGTTCAGGGCTGAACACAGACACTTGGCTGAAAACTTGGATGCTGAGTGGCTCCCTGGATCACCTTCCTAAGCCTGCATAGTCATATGACTATTTCTTCCTAACCAGAAGTTTATTCTCTGCAAAACTGAACCAAAGAAGGTCTGGACTGAGGGACACCAGGCACAGTAAAAGGTGAGTGGAGTAGATGCCTGACTGAAAAAAGAGGGGTCAGGGAAAGTCTGCACATCAGCCAGGAAGATCCCAACCCCTTGCTTCCCCAGTCCTGCTTTCAGAATGCCAACAGTCAGTCAGAACTACCTTTCTGGAGAGACGGATCCACAAATAATGGCATTTAGGGATATCCCCCCAAAAAAGATAGCTCACCCTCTAGTCAACTAAGTACCAGCTGTCAAGCCACATCTCTGCACACAGTTTTTAATTATGTTTGAGTATCTCCTTTGTAGGTTTTGTGAGCCCTGGAGTTTAATATTTTGTGTGTACCCACTTTAAGAAGAGTCTACAAAAGTGAAACTTGAGTATTATTAGCTTTATAATAAATCTGCCTTTGCTGCCTTGCAAATATGGACAATCAAAGTTTCATTAGACCATTAAGACACTCAGAGAAAAATAAAAACAATGCAAGGAACAGATGAAAATGTGGAAAGTTAAGTATATTATAAATATCCTAAAATTCATGAGAATTACTGCATCTATAAAATAAGAACAGAATGCTGTTTTAAAAAACTAATTGAAGAGAGGAAGAAAGAGAGCTTAGAAATTAAAAATATGAAGCCCATAATAAAATTTAATAGAAGAGCTAGATTAAAAATGAAGTTTTCAGCTGGGTGTGGTGGCTGATGTTTGTAATTCTAGTACTTTGGGAGGCTGAGGCAAGTGGATTGCCTGAGCTCAGGAGTTCAAGACCAGCCTGGACAACATGGTGAAATTCTGACTCTACTAAAAATACTGAAAAATTAGCCAGGCCTGGTGGTGCGTGCCTGTAGTCCCAGCTACTGGGGAAGCTAAGCCACGAGAATTGCTTGAATCCGAGAGGCAGAGGCTGCAGTGAGCCAAAATCACACAACTGCACTCCAGCCTGGTGGCGACTCTGTCTCCATGAAAAACAAACAAAAAAAGTAAAGAAGTTTTCAAATAAACAGAATAAAAATGCAAAGAGAAAGAAGCTGGAGAAAAAGGTAAGATAATTCAAGTCTCAATCCAACTATCCAGTAGCGTCCTAAGAAAGGGTGTGTTGAAGGAACTTTTAAAAGTATATTCTTGTCAATCTGGAAATGTCTTTTTTCTTAATTACATTTGCTTGACAGTTTGGCTGGATATAGAATTTTAGGTTGGAAATCACTTCCCTTCAATGCATTTTTCCAAATGTCTTCTAGCATCCAGGATTTCTATGTAGAAGACAGATGCCATTTTAGTTTCTGATCCTTTTTTTTATGTCACCCCCCTGGAAACTCTTAAGATCTCTTCATTCCTGACATGCTGAAATTCCACACTTACATGCATTAGTGATAGTTTTTTTTGCCATTCATTGTGTCAGGCATTCAGGGGCCCTTTCAATCTAGAAACTCTGAGAATTTTTTCCTGCATTAGTCCTTTAATATTTTTCTCTCCTCTCTTGTCTCTGTTCTATTCTGTCATCGTGTTTGGAAAAAAATTTGGTAAGTATGCAACAAAGTATGGAAAAAAATAGTGTCAGACATGTAGAAAACTGAGTGCATGGAGAAAAACAATGATTAATTCTGGTAAAAATAAGAGAAAGCAACAAGCAAAGGAAATAATCATGAAATACAACTTGATACAGTGGCAAACATTTACATACTCGTGTAATCATAGTATGTCATATCATAACACACACACTGGCAATTGAATTTAACAAGAAATCTGTAATATAATGATATTGACATGATGGATGGAGGACCAGTGAGACAGAGTTATAGGACAGCCAAATCCTCAACTACCAAAACAGAAGTCAATAATGTCTGAAATTCCTGAGTGAGGGAATAGCAATAGAAGCTATATATTAAAAATCACATAAGAAGACATAGTTAACCAGATTGAAACTGATTGCTAATGAGGGATATGAGTAGGGGTGGAGAGGGGTAGGTCAAAGAACTGCTGTTATTTCTTTATAAGCCTCTGAGTAATTGTTTGAGTGTATGTATACATTAGTTTAATAGAAGTACATTTTAATTTTTAAAAACTGTAAATAAGAAGTTAGGAATTCAGAACAGCGATGTATAAACTGACTCTTAAAAGAATGTTAGCTGGGAAGGAGCTGGTTCTAATAAGAGAAGCCAGACCACCTGGGTCCAAATCCTAGACCCCACCAGTCCCGAGCTGGGCAACCTGGCATGGTACTCAACCACACTGACTTTTATCGCCTCCTCTTTGATTGGAGGTGATAACTTCAAAGATTAAATGTGTTCATTTATGGAAAGCCAGGGGCTTAGTAAATGTTGGCTGTTTGTGACGGGAAGTGAAGAAATAAACAGGAGCTAAAAGAAGAGATGGGGTTGAGGGGAAGCTCTGTTTTTGTTTTCATTTGGAACATGCTAGATGGGATATACTACAGTCAAGGTGCATGCCAGCTGGATGGGATTCGTGCTTTAGAGATGGAGGAATGATGCTGGAGAACAGCCAGAGAACTGGAAAGGTCAAGTCCTCGTTCAGGGGGCGGGGAGGCAGACGCACAGCTCACAGGGATGGATGGTTCTGTTGGGGCAGGAAGGCGGGTGTAGAATGAAGGTGGAGACACACGGGCCTTGAGAGATGCGTCATTCTCTCTTTGGGTGAACAGGGGCCCTCTGCACTCCCTGGCTTGTGTTCAGAGCCTACAGGGCAGCCAGCCTTCCTCAGCTGTCATTGGGTGTCATTATTTTGTGACCAAAAGGCAGGAGAACATCAATACTCCAACTGCCATTTTGTCACAGGGCTCGGAGTTGTGTACCAGAGTGTGTTGTTTTCCCAGTGACTTAAAGAGAGGTTTCCTTCTCTGAGTTAAAAAATATAATCAATTTTCATGAATTCTCAATAAAGTAAATTTCCTGCTGATAAGAAAGAACAAGAGGGCATCCAACCACCAAATACGTCATTTCTGGAAAATGTGTTGGTATAGATGGAATTCATTTTTGGTGCCCTGAGACATGGGAGCTATGATGTCATCTCTACCTACCCTGCAGAAAACCAGTCGAAGGTGTTCTCAGCCACAGAGCCCTAAGGGCAGAGCCAGGTGAAGAAGAGAGAATCTAGATTCTCACAGGGGAGTCTGCGCAGCACAGTTCCCATCCCAGGACACATGTGCTCTTCCAGGAAGCAGGACAAACAGCAGGCTGGACTTCTCACCTCTAACAAGCGAGAGAATAAAATGGCCCTCACTTCTCCCTCTCGTGGTTTTCTACTTACCTACAGAAGACAGCAGCGTCCCATCTGCACGGAACTCCAAGGCAGACTCCTGTTACCCGCTTATCCCTGACATCTGTCAGTCACTCCTCCCTATCATTCATTCCCTTGTTCAACCAATATTTATTTTCATCACCTGTGATAAGCCAGGCACTGGGATGGGTGCGGGTGGCACAATGTGAGCCAAAGAGCCACAGCCCCTGCCCTGGAAGTGGCTCATTTGCTGACTGAAGTGCCCGTGCCGCCTTGCAGATTCTGCCTCGCCTGCACTGCCCCAGCCCTGTGTCAAGCCACCTCACTCCTCTCTGACAGCCTCCTCCTCACTGCTTCCTCCTAAAGGGCCATCTCCGTTCTTCACTCTGCAGCCAGTGTGAGGCTTCTAAAAGCCAGCATCGGAATTGTGTCCCTGCCTTAATAAAACCTCTTAATTGCTTCTGGAATAAACTTCAAATTCTTTAGTATGCTCTGCAGGGCCTTTCCAGACTGGGTGCTCTCTGGCCATGCTGTTCTCCTCCCTTAACTCTCCCTTTGCCCTTTACTGCTTTCCTCTTGGTGAAGCTCTTCCAGTTACTAAAATGTTCCTCCAGGCCTTTGATCCCGCAGCAGCACTCTCTACTATCTCCCTGCCTGGCCAAGTCCCCTTCATCTTTTGGGCCAGGCAGGGAAGGCTTTCCTAAGCCCCACCCCACACTAGGCTGGATGTCCTCCCATATGCCCACAGCTACCCACATTTTCCACAAGGTGTACCTACTTTTTTTTTTTTTTTTTTTTTTTTTTTTTTTTGAGACAGAGTCTCACTCTGTCACCAGGCGCCAGGCTGGAGTACAGTGGTGCGACCTCCGCTCACTGCAACCTCCGCCTCCCGAGTTCAAGCAATTCTCCTGCTTCAGCCTCCCGAGTAGCTGGGACCACAGGCGCGCACCACCACGCCCAGCTAATTTTTTTGTATTTTTAGTAGAGACGGGGTTTCACCATGTTGGCCAGGATGGTCTCGATCTCTTGACCTCGTGATCCGCCCGCCTCGGCCTCCCAAAGTGCTGGGATTACAGGTGTGAGCCACCGGGCCCGGCCGAAGGTGCACCTTTTTATACTCGACTTTTATTTGCAAAGTTGCCTAGAGTTTGAGTTCCTTGAGGGAGAAGAGCAGACCCATGCTGCTGACCACTGCAACTCCAGTGCCTGCCACATGACCCCGGGGAAAAACACAAACAAAAAACTCCACAAAAAACCACGTTTACCTTTCGCTCTGTCCACAAAGTCTCTCTTAGTAAGGGAAATAAACTGATTTGATAGTGCCTGGTTAACTTCTTTCATTGAAGCAGAGACTTTCCAAGGGAGGCAGTTCCTTAGTGTCCTCTTTGGTTGACAGCGAGGTAGTGTCCACAGGAAAATGTCCTATCAAAGCAAACACAATTTTCAAGAAAATTCATATGGGTTCACCTAATGGGATCAATTATCTGAGTGTCTGTGTGCACATATTCTTCAGAATCCTTTACACCCAGCTGCCACGGGAGGTGCATGGATGCAGAGAGCCAGTCAGCAGGAGCCGTTCGTAGCCCAAACAGAGCTTCCATGCATTTCTTTAACTTTTCACACTGAAAATGAGAGAATGAGATTGAAAACTTCCACAAGTTGTGCTTCCAACCAGAAGTCTCCTACAGATAAGAGCAGGGGAAGAGAAACCCTATGTCAATTCTCGTTCTGGCCGGACATTCCCAAGGAGTGCAGGCAGAGGCTGCTTTCTGCTTGGGAGCCCCTGAGGAAGACCCCCTCACATGCAGAGGCCTCAGCAACTTCCTGAAGGACAGCAAAGGGCAGGCACTCTCTTCTCATCTCCAGAGAGATTTTAGGATGATAAAACTTGAAACCTCCACCTTCTCTTGCCAACGTCCCTCTTTCCCATGATCTTGCTTGCTATTTCCCTGAGAAAACTGAAGCCACCTGACAAGAACCTCCACAGTCCAGCAACCATGTGCCAGCCACCACACCTGCACTGGCACACGGTGCCAGCCACCACACCCGCACTGGCACACGCTGTGATAGGAGGGGAGCCGGCAGGTGCTCCCAGCAAGGCCCAGCCCCACCTGCAGCACCAGATCCCTCTCTGGTGAGCCCACTCCAGCAAATCGTCCAACAATCCTCTCTTCACTCTTGCAACTTGAATCTCTCCCTCTCTGCTGGGTCATTGCTATCAATGTCCAAGCATGCGTTTATTTCTCCTATCTTAAAAAGAAAATGCTCTCGTCACTCACTTTCCCTTCTAGTTACTAAGCTATTCCTCCATTTCCCTTTGCACCAATATTCTTCAAAGTAGGTATACTCATGTCCCAAATGTGTCTTTTAAATCTCTTTTAGTTTTCGAGTTCTCTCTTGATTCCATTATTTCCCTCATAATTTATCAACTGGAAAGACCAATACATAAAAGTATAATTTATCTATTGAAGAAGCCATTTAATGTGCAGAGGTGAGGTCCTCACAGTCTAGATTTTGTTGATTGCATATTCATTTATTGTTTAAAAAGTTCCTCTGTCCCCTGTATTTCCTGCAAATTGACAGGTGGATCCAGAAACTCAAACTTACTAGACCAGAAGTCAAGCTTGTCCAACCCAAGGCCCCAGCCAGGACGGCTTTGAATGTGGCCCAACACAAATTCATAAAATTTCTTAAAATATTATGAGATTTTTTTTTTTTTGCGAATTTCTTTTTTTTTTTTTTTTTTTTAAAAAGCTCATCAGCTATCATTAGTGTTAGTGTATTTTACGTGTGGCCCAAACCAATTCTTATTCTTCCATTTAGCCCAGAGAAGCCAAAAGATTAGACACCCCCGAATAAATGATGTTTCACAAGGCTGTAGGAAGCAGATAATATATGGTTGTTTTCCTTGTGTAATGTTAGCAGCTGCTGATATTCAAAGCCTGGATTAATTGAGGCTGCCGGCTGGTATGTGAACACTCATTGGCTGAGAACACACAGGACCGTCTGCCACGCTAGCTGTCATTGGCTGAGAACAAGACAGTTGGCCACACGCTCTCATTGGTTGAGAGCCTTCGCCAGCACTTAGCCGAGGAAGGGAAAATGATATGGTCATGTGTTTGTGGTTGTACACATACAGTATAATATTGTAATCAACTCTTTTACATTAATTGTAAAATATTAAGGATGACCAAGTGCAGTGTCTCGTGGCTGTAATCCCAGAGTTTTGGAAGGCCAAGGTGGAAAGAATGCTTGAACCCAGGAGTTTGAGACCAGCCTGGGAAACAGACTGAGACCCCACCTCTACAAAAAATAAAAAATTAGCTGGGTGTGGGAGCATGCACATGTACTTCCAGCTACTCTGGAGGCTGAAATGGGAGGGTCACTTGAGTTCAAGAGTTCGAGGCTGTAGTGAACCCTGATTGTGCCACTGCACTTCACCCCGTGCAACAAAGCAAGATCTTGTCTCTAATATATACAATTACACACAATAATACATATGTTAGAGACATATTTATATATTATATATAAATGATTTGTTAAGTATATAATTTAGATACATATATGTTTTTAGAGACAGGAGTTTTATGTGTATATCTCCAGGAGACATATACGTGTGTGTGTGTGTGTGTGTGTGTGTGTGTGTATAAATCTATCTATCTATCTATCTATTTATCTATCTATCTATCTATCTATCATCTATCTATGTATCTATCTATATTTTAGGGTTGAATCGGTTATAATGAATGGGTGTCACAAGGAATCAAATGGAATTGGCTATATGTGCACATTCTAATGACTCCCAAGTCCATATGTCCAGCTCATCTTTCCCCCATGAGCTCCAGACCTGTCTGTTCAACTGCCTGTTGGACACCAACCAACATGTCTTCAACTAAAACTACATTGTTCCCCCAATACCGTTCTCCACCAAACCTAGCCCTCCACCATGTTTCAGCTCAGTAAACAACATCTGCATACACCAGGCTGTCCAAGTCAGAAGTTGAACATTCTACTTTCCTTTTCCTTATCCTTCACATCCTTTCAATCATCAGATCCTGTCCATCCTACCACCTTATCATCTATTGAATGCATCAAGGTGGCTCCATTCCACGTGATCCCATCCCAGGTGGCAGTTAAGTAAATGAAACCCTTCACTACAACAAAACATTGCCTTTTGTGATGCGAGAAGGGCATAGAAAGCCAAGAAAACACATAAGGAGAATCCGTTATTTCCATCTAGGGGAAAAGGGACTTAGAGGTAGCTTTATTTAATCTGAACCTTGAAGAAATACAGGGGTTCCCTTAGTGCACAGGATAGGGGCATTCTAGGTAGAGGCAACAGAATGATTGACAAAATGGAGGTTTGAGAGTGCACAAAACACAAGGCTAAGCACAAGTACTTGTACATGGCTGTTCATAGCAGCACAATTCACAGTAGTCAAAAGGTGGAAACAACCCAAACATGCATTGATGGATGCACGGACAGACAAACTGGTACATCCACGGGAGAGAACACTGGTCAACTGTGACAAAGAATTGCAGGTACTGGTATTTGCTACATGAATGCTACATGGGCAGTCTTCATAACAGTGCTTTTCCTCTCATCTTTCTAGTCAGATAATGTCTTAGATGATGAACCTTGAAGACATTATGCTAAGTGAAAAGAAGCCAGACACCAAAGGTCACCTGTTGTTGGTTTCGCATACAAAATATCCACAATAGGTAATCCACAGAGGTAGAAAGCAGACGGCGGGGAATAATTGCTAATGGATATGAGGGTTTCTTCTAGGATGATGAAAATGTTTTGAAACAAAAATAGAGGTGATGGCTGAACAACGACATATGTGTACTAACTGCCACTGAATTGTTCACTTTAAAAGGTTAATTTTATATTATCTAAATTTCATCTGAATTTTTTTTTTTTTTTTTTTTTTTTAAGACAGAGTCTTGCTCTGCGGCCCAGGCTGAAGTGTAGAGGCATGATCTCAGCTCACTGCAACCTCCACCTCCTGGGTTCAAGCAATTCTCCTGCCTCCTCCACCTCCCAGGTTCAAGCAATTCTCCTGCCTCAGCTTCCTGAGTAGCTGGGATTACAGGTGCATGCCACAACACCCGGCTAGTTTTTGCCTGTTTAGTAGAGATGGGATTTCACCATGTTGTCCAGGCTGGTCGCTTACTCCTGACCTCAGATGATCCGCCCACCTCTTCCTTCCAGAGTGCTGAGATTACAGGGGTGAGCCACTGCACCCGGCCTCATTTCAATTTTTTACAAGTCTTAAAAAAAACAAAAACAAACAAACAAAAAAAAAACACCTCTAGGGGATAGAACATAAGTGATTAGAAATAAATGTGAGAAGATAGATAAGAAATAGTCTAAAAAGAACCATATATCCTGTGACTGTAGAAGTTGAAAGATCTTTGTGACGTAAACTCTCACGGGTTGTTGATACAGCGTTAAATTCAACACATATGTAGATATTATCTTACTTCATTGAGATGAGTTTTTTGGCTCTTGATTCCTCCTGAAGTCTCAGTTTTGATCAAATCTTCTTTAGAGTATGATTTCCAAGTGTACTCATCATTATATTGTGTCTGATTGAGAATAGGATCGCTAAGTGAATAGGTGTATCCTAATCTTCTGATACTGTTTTGGCTACAAAAATATCCAGCAGAAATTAGAGTTAGAGGTTAAATGCCAAATCTCACAAAAGTACACATGTCAAATCATTTTCTTGTTACATTTTTTAAAAGATTGATTGGCATAAGGGTTGATGCCAGAAATAATTTAATTTCAGGTTTTCCCTGAAGGAAAACAATGTTGTATATTAGGATGGCTTTTAACAAAAGTATAGAGGCCTAAAATAAAATGTAAAAACATAACAATCTGAAATGTTTTAATTTTTTTAAAGAGCTGAACACTCTCCAGTACAAATGGCACTTCAGTATAACCAAATAGTTGGGGAAGAAAAGCTTCTCTCTTATAGAAATCTTCCATTTGATTTCCCTTAGTCACAAGGGAAGAAATAGAAGAATTAAAATACCACTGGTTTCAAATGCCTAATGAAATCACGAATCTAGGCAATGACCAGCGGTGTCCACTCACAGCCCCAAAAGAGGACCGCCAGATCCTAGGAGCTTCTGAACGAATACCTGCACCACCACTTATTAAATATCTTTGCCAAAATGCAAAACTTGAATCCGATGAAGTCTTTAGACTGTTGGATTATAGGAAACACACGAAAAGAGAAATTATTTGAATGGTTACATGAAGATTAAAACAAAAAAAATCCCAGAACAATGATTCTGTTTCTTCAACAAAGAATTTGTTAGGAAAAAAGAAGAAGAAGAAGAAAATTCTCTCTCTCTCTCTTTTAAGAATAAATGAGGCAAGAGACAAATAACCAAATGAAACGTGTGGACCTTTTTTGGATTCAATTTCAAACCACTGCCTTTTTAAAAAAAATTATGAGACAATTGAAGAGACTTGATTGCTGATTGGCTATTTGATATTAAGGAATTGGTTTTCTTAAAGGTGAGATAATAGTATTATTTTTAAAACATCCTTATCTTTTAGAGATACCTACAAAATCTTTAGGATTGAAATGATATCATGCCTGGGATTTGCTTCAGTGGGAAGGATGAGTGGAGGGTACAGATAACAGTATCTAACCCGTGACGATCACTGTTGCTGGGTCATAGTAGGGGTTTGTTGTATGTTCCTTTGTGTATGTTTAAAATATTTTTTTTAAACTTTTTTTAAAAAGAAAGCTGGGTATATTCAGATTATCTCTGTAATAAACAAACATCTGGGAAGTTGAAAACAAACATCTAGATGATCATTCTATTGTCATTCAGATATAAACTGGAGATTTTCCAAAGGGAGGGGACACCGCATAGATAGCTGTTTTTTTTTTTTTCTTTTTGAGACAGAGTCTTGCTCTGTTGCCTCTGCTGCCTAGGCTGGTGTGCAATGGTACCATCATAGCTCACTGCAGCTTCAAACTGCTGGACTCAATCTATCCTCCCACCTCAGCCTCCCAAGTAGTGAGGACTTGCAGTCCTGTACCGCCATGTCCAGCTGACTTATTCTTTATTTTTATTTTTTGAGATGGGGGTCTCACTATGTTGCCCAGGCTAGTCTTGAACTTCCAGCCTCAAGCATTCCTCCCACCTCAACCTCCCAAATAGCTGGGACTACAGGCACATGCTACAGACTGGGATTACAGCTGTGAGTCACCACACTTAGACACAAAAAGCTGTAAAAGAATCAATTTTCAGATCTCAATTTCTCAATATGCTCTTTCCTAGAACATATCCACCTGAGAACAAACCTGCATAAGCATGTGGGTTTTTTCTTCCTATGCTGCTTGCCTGATTCTGCTTTCTCCATTTCACCACAGGCTTTTTCTATGGTGCATTGCTTTGGGGGATAAGCCTCCAACCACGGCAGGGGCCCCCAGTGAAGGGAAACACGGTCAGAGTGATTTCAGGGTTACCTCCTTGTAATCCAAGTTTCACTGGGAACCACTTGCCTGGGGGTGTGATTCTCATTGTCATGTGTATTTCTATAGAGTGAAGGATTGTGCTATGCCCAGGGTACTAGGTCTGTGTGGGGAGGGTCTGAATTTAGGTATGTCATAGAGAGTGGCTGAGTGTAACTTCTGGTTTTCTATCTCCTAACAATGACAAAACGTTCATCTCTTTTTAGGGAGAGGCCTCTGAGAAAAGAGCAGAGAATGTAGAATGCTTAAAGTGACCCCTTTCCTTCCACATTTAAAAACAGGCATTTATCAGCTTATCTCTAGGACATGTCATTAGCTGGAAAGAAAAGCAACTCTGAGGTGTTGAAGCAGCAGGGGTTGGTCATGCTGATTACTTTAACAACCAGGATCTTTCCTTTTTTTTTTTTTTTTTTTTTTTTTTTTTTTGTGAGACAGAGTCTACCTCCGTCACCCAGGCTGGAGCAATCTCCACTTCCCGGTTCAAGCGATTCTCCTGTCTGAGCCTCCCGAGCAGCTCGGACAATGGGCACATGTCACCACACCAGGCTAATTTTTGTATCTCTAGCAGAGATGGGATTTCACCATATTGGGGTCAGGCTGGTCTTGAACTCCTGACTTTAGGTGATCAACCTGCTGCAGCCTCCCAAAGTGCTGGGATTACAGGCATGAGCCACCACGCCCAGTCAAGATTTTTTTCTGAGACACTAAATTTTTAAAGATTCACTGGACAAAACTAATGAATAGGAATCTGGTATTTTTTTTTTTCAGACTTTGTATTAATCATTCAATAAAGTAAGCTTTATTCTGAACTCAAGCATGTTACAAAATATTTACTTGAATACAGCCAATTTTCATTTTATTTTATGTTGTAAAATATTTAACAACAAATGAAAGTATAGGCTAACCTGCCGGACCAATTTTAATTTTCACTATATGTAACTTTCTCTCATTGAATAATAGTAAATATTTGATTTGATGTTTGATGAAATTAATGAAATTGTTTCTGTTTTTGTACATGATTATCATTTAATTATTCCCAAAGGAAAGCACCAGAATTCTATATACATGAGCGTATATTTAAGAAACATCATGCTTTTATTATACTCTTCACAAACAACATATACATTTAGCTACACATTTTATTGTATTATTTTTGGATATAATGCAATAAAATGTGTAGCTAAATGTATAAGTTACTTGGATATAATACTATACTACACTAAAACTCCTATTTTTTGCATCGACTAATGTGTATATATATATGTATATATATATATGAACAAGGTTTCTTAACATTAGAATCTATAAATTGAAAAAAGAGAGAAGCAGAGAAAAATTGATGCCGACTACAGTTTCAGTTTAAAAATAACAACACTCAAAACTAGATATATAAACTAATTGAAAGCAAAACAGCCACATTTATCTCATTAAGATGCAGTTGCAAAAAATTTACTTTTTGTATTTCATAATTACGAATATTTATAATGTATTTATTGCTTTGAGCAATTGTATCCTAAAGCAATTGTGATAACTCAATACTTAGGGTCATATAACACATTTAAAAATTAATTTCAATTAATATACTAAAATAATTGCAAAGAAGTATAATAGAGTGATCAATAAATTGCTTTCAAACATAAAATATATTAAAGCAGAGAAAATTCTATGGAGAAAGTGGAGTGGAAATGAGAGTTCAAGAAGAAAAAGACATGAAATGAATTGTCAAAGAAGAGCTTATTTGTGTATTTATTTAAAGATCATGGCAAGCATTAATTTGCTAAAGCATTCAGAGTATTCACTGGTTTTATTGAAAAGTTTTATTTTAAAATGTCAATATGTAGGATGGGGAGGAAGTTTAATCTTTTGCAACAATTTAAATTTATGTTGTCATTTGACAAAGCCATCATACAAAGACTTTCTATAACCAAGGAACTTATACAGAGTCTTCATCCCTGAAGGCATCAAGAGTCATATTAGGCTATAATAAGCTGTAAACATTAAAGTCACATCCTTAAAGGAGAAAAAAGAAATTTTAAAAAATCAAAGCCAAAATAAATTCAAGAATAATTAGAATCAATAGTCCAACCAAATGAGAAGGAATTAGAAAAATAATACTGGCAATGTGACAAAACAAGGTTCTATAGTATCCCCAAAAGATCACACTAGCTCTCCAGCACTGGATCTAAACTCAAATGAAATCTTTGAAGTAGCAAATAAAGAATTCAAAAATTTGATTATTAAGCTACTCAAGGAGATACCAGAGGAAGGGAAAAACCAACATAAAGAAATTGAAAAACTCAAGATATGAATAAAATGTTGTCTAAAGAAATATATTTTTTAAAAAATCAGAACTTCCGGAAATGAAAGTCACATTTAGGGAATGACAAAATGCAGTGGAAAGTTCTAACAGACTAGAATAAGTAGAAGAAAAAAATTTAGAGCTAGAAGACGAGACTTTTGAATTAACCTAGACAAAAAGAAAAAAAAAAAATGAGCAAAATCTCCAAGAAACATGGAATTATATAGAATGGCCAAATCTAAGAATAATTGGTGTTCTGAGGTAGAAGAGTAAGTGAAAAGTTTGGAAAAATCATTTGAGGGAATAATTGAGGAAAACTTCCCTGGGCTTGCTAGAGATTTAGATATCCAAATACAAGAAGCTCAAAGAACTCCTGGGAGATTCATCACAAAAAAGACTTCAACACCTACGGTCATCAGACTATCTAAAGTCAATGTAAAGGAAATAATTCTGAGAGCACTGAGACAAAAACATCAGGTAAACTATTAAAAAAACAGCAGCAATAACAACAAAAACCTATCAGACTAACAGCAGACTTTTCTGCAGAAATCTTACAAACCAGAAGGGATTAGGGTCCTATCTTTAGCCTCCTTAAAGAGAGTAACTGTCAGTCAAGAATTTTTTTTTATCCAGAAAAACTACGTTTTAGAAATGAAGGAGAAATAAAGTCATTTTCAGACAAACAAATGCTGAGGGTATTTGTCAGTACCAGGCCAGCCCTACAAGAAATGCTACAAGGAGTTCTAAATTCTGAAACAAAAGGTCAATATGCACCAGAATAGAACCTTTTCAAAGGGCCTATGAAACAAGAGCACAATGAAGAAAACAAAGTATCTAGGTAACAATTAACAT